TCAGATTTCGGGACGCTGTTGGACTTGGAGCACGACCTCCCGGATGAGCTGATCATCCCCAGCGAACCGGTTCTGGTCAACGATGGGGACCTGAACCAGCTGAACAGCAGTTTGGGACGAGGCCCCACAGGTGGAACAGCAGGGGGAATGGGGCTGGGCTTCGGCCCCGGTCCAGGGGGGGAACCCGGCGGGATTGGCGGGGGCCAAGACGCAGTGGCCAAGCACAAGCAACTGTCAGAGCTTTTGCGTACAACCACCTCCAGTCAACAAGGACATCCGGGAGCCATGGGCGGCCCCGCGGTGATGGGGCAGCACCTAGCCAACATGAAGGTATCCTCAGGTCAGGGGCCTCAGCAGATGATGGGGGGGCAGCAGCAGCATCTCTCCCAGCAGCAGGCCAACATGATGCAGCAGCCGGGGATGATGGGTAACAGGGGCATGATGGGAGTGCAGCAGAAAGCCAATAACGGCCAGCAGCAGCAGCCGGGCATGATGGGAAGCCAGGTGATGAACGGCTCCCCTAGGATGGGCTTTGGGAACCAGGGGATGGCCAGCAGCGGCAACATGTTGGCCGACACGCTGCAGCAGCAGGGAGCCGCGGGGCCAGGAGCCATGAGGGGCCAACAGCATGGATCCATGAACAAGGTAGGGGCCCTGAGCCTGTTCACATGGAGAGCTGATGGAGTTCAGTCACATCCACCTGAAGATGCTCATGTTACATCTGGAAATCAACACATTACTGTGTTTGGTTAAAGGGAAAAATAAAGTTACTTTTTCAGTTCTAATTAAATTATTAGCTAACGGTGTTGGCAATTTTATAGTTGATCAGCACCAAATATGAACTTATTTAAAGGGTTAGTTTATATACTGTATGTTTTATCATACCTTAACAAAAATAACATTTCTTACCAACAGACATGCTTGGGGGAGGGGGGGAACTAATCAGTCTACAGATAGAAAATGTCTTTATATTAGGAAAACATTAGTCTTACAATATTTAATATGCCATCTAATCAGGTGAGGCTTCAAGGAAGCCTTTTGGATCATTTAAGTTCTTTGCATGAACGCCACATGGGTCTGAAAATTAATCCTCTGATGTACATTTACTATTAGAGACAGATCTAAAACATCAAGTAGAACTACTGTGTAGTGAGCCGTGCTACAGGAAAATATGTAAGAGGAGCCGCAGTAAAAGTTAATAAAATACCAATAATAATAACAGTGTATTGTATTGCAAGGTTTCCCCCAGAAAACTTGCTAAGCCCGGTGGTCGGGGGGTTGAGGCGGCCCACCGGCGGTCCACCG